GTGTTCCCAAAATACCCCCCTTTTTATTCCTTCCCAACCCCTTTTGCCCCCCCCCCCCCCGCCCCCAAAAGGCAATTCTGTAATTTCTCTAAGCAGTTTGTTCCAATACCTAGTCACTCTGACATTTAGGAAAGGTTTTCCCTGTAGCTTAAATTCATTGTTTTTTGTGACACTCTCTGCAAACATGGAAAACCATTCTTCCACTATCCTCTTTATGGGAACCTTTACAAAATTTGAATGCTATCATGTCACCCCTTCATCGTCTTTTCTCCCAACTAAATATTCCCAGATCCTTCAACCTTCCCATATCTGGCTTGCTTTCCAAATCTCTGATCGTCTTCATTGCTAACCTTTGGCTTCTCTCCAATTTTTCCACATCCTTCTTAAAATGGGGTGCCAAAAAGGCTTTGCACTACTTCAGTTTAAGCTTAACCACCAGTGCTGAGTAGACCAATCCTTCTCACACATGATGCTTTTGTTAATGCAACCCGAGATAGGATTTCCCACCTCATGCAAACATATTTTAATGTATGATTGCTTTAAACTATTTCACTACAACTATATTTTTTTACTATTTTTTGTTCATTATTTGCATTCTGTGGTGCATAATTGGTTATCTAACTCACATAGTATAGAACAACTCAGCATTCAGGGAAAGAAAACCCTATTCTCACATTTTTGGACACCCAAATAGCTGTTATCATGGTTAATATGAAAAGTAAATCAGAATTCAGGAAGATGTTTGAACAATTTTTCCCTGCTTCTTGTATATTACTAACACTTCACTATCAAGTCATAATAGCTTTATCAAAGGAGCTCTCTTTCAACAGGGACAATTCCTGTACTTTGGCACTTCACATTAAAATCCAGAGGCCTGAACCTGTTCCTTTGCCCCCTTTATGAGTCTTTCCTGCCCAGAGCAGGGGGGGCTAGACCTGATGATCTCACTAGGAGCCTTAAACTTATGTGAATCTGTGTGAATCTGTGAATGTTCCTGATTTTTGTTAATTCTCCTTGAGCTGCCATTGCAAGCAGCCCCAAGCCACAGAGAGTTGCAAGTATCACCCAAGATAAAGCTGATAAGAAATCAAAATTTAGAATGGCCTAAAAATAGACTTTCCATCTCCTCCTTACACACAAAAATAATAGCTGATGATAGCAACTATGCTTACAAAAAGCCACTAGTAAAATTTAATTTTCCCAATCTTCTAAAGTGGACTAGGTACCTGTTGCTGCAACAAAGGGAACACTTGCAATGCCAGTATGCCTTATAGCCCCATCATTTTAAATAAATTGAAAAATAAAAGAACAATAAAGTCTTGGAAAGGAGACACCTCCCCCTTTTTTTTCACATTGTCCTCTAGTACCACAGCACTTAAATGAGGCTAATTTTAAATGCCCCTCTAAGTGAGGACAAAAGCTTGACTCCAGCTGAGTGATTGGGTCACATGAAACTCACTCAGCTGACAAGTTGGGTACATGCAAACACAAATTTGATTCAACCTAATTTTCAGTCTCTCTTAATTAAATTTAAGAGTGTAATGGGAGAAAGTCACCCTCCAAGCACAAAGCATAGTATTAACTATTATAGTGCCCTGACAGAATTTTCTATGCCTTATATTATTATGTGGTACATTACACTAACATACATTAGTATTGTTGGATGTATTATATTAGTATACGGAGGCCCCAGCTGAGACTGCAAGTCCCCTAGGTGAAGAACTGTAGAAAAAAGAAAAAAAATTATTTAGGCACCTAGCTACCTTTTTAGGTAACTAAATCTCATTGAAATACCCCTAGATACCTATAAAAAGCCTTCTAGATTCTTATAGAATAGATAAGAAGGATAAAATGTGAGGCCGAAACACTTGATCAAATTCATATAGTCAACAAGGGACAAAGTATAAAATAGACCTCAGGTTTCCTGACTTGAGTGAAGGCCTTATGCAACAGACAACAGTGACTCCCTTATATTCCCACTTGTTTTGAGCCATGTTTATACCACAAACTGGAAGCAAAGTGACAAGGCTTGATGCACAGGGCTCCTCATTAAGGTTGAGAACAAAGTTTGCCTCCTGGGCAAGAGGGAGGCTTTCTGGGTGCTCTGGTAGCCCCGAAGCTGCAGCACTGTATGTTACCATGTTGCCCTCAGGAGAGGTGTGGCAATGGATTGTCCCTATTTTTGTTCCTCCTCCTGCTCATCCTTGCAAGAGTTGGAAGCTGCAAGAGCTGCTGTGAAGTAGGCCTTGTGGTATGCAGGGTTGTGGCAGGCAATAGCTGGCTCCTCACATCCCACTTCTGCAGCAAGGTGTACAGGATCTGTATGTTGATCTGTGGGGAAATTACATGTTTATGTTATGAAGCCAGGATTTTAGCAAGTGATAGCTTCTAGTGGCCCAAGTAACACTGTCATTTAGTGGCATGCTGTCATAGTCTCTACATTTTGCTTAATGAAAACATCCTTTTTTTGCTTGCTCTTGTCCTGCATTTCATATGCTTATGAAGGGACATTCAAAACTGGCTTGTTTTTATTTGAAAACTGCATGTACCTTAGCAGTTTTCTTTTTACAATAATTGGCCCATTTTCAAATTCATAATGAAATATGAAAACCATTTGTTAGTAGTTTTGCTTTTCATTAGGAATATTTTCCATAGTGTTACATACCAAAATACCAATTCCAGCTGCTTTTCCAGGGTTAAAATGCAATTAGTTCAAAACACCAAAAGGAACACTCATCTACTTCCCTACGTTATACGTTTCCTTCTACATCAGGGGAGGGCAAAATAAGGCCCACGGGCCAGATGCGGCCCACCAAGCCATTCTATCCAGCCC